TTAGAAACGAAGACAGTAAGAATGTAGTCAATGATGTGAAATTGAATTATGCGGTATCCAAAGAGCCATCACAAGGTATCAAAGTCTTCGGGAATACCAAACTGTCGATTGAAATCTGCTCGTTCGACATTGCATTTGTTGACACAATAAGACTGTAGAAGGAGAATATTTTCTATTCATGATTGGCAGGGAGAGAATTATTAGTTAGCGGATTAATATGATTGCATTTGATATGTTACAATCCTACCTGTCCATCTGTTGGCGCTTTCAAGTGCAATAGCAGCCGCCTTTTCTTTTGCTTCAAGCAATGTTGGATCGCATTCTTTGTATCGCTTTAATTCATCAAGATTTTTCTTTCGCAAATTTTCTGCCTCTGCCAACTGCCCGAGAAGTGCTGTTCGTTCATCCTACACGTGTAAATGTTTAGTGGAAACGATGAATTCTTAAATGCATCGTTGACATTTCGTAACTTGCGCACACACAACTCACAGAATCTTCGCGTCCATTAGAAGCGTTCTCGATACTAGCCGTCAAGTCTGCATTTTTCTCTTTTAACTTTTTCAACTCATTTGTCAATCCGTCGATTTTACTACGCCGCTTTTAAAATGAGATTTTATTAGCAACGACGCGCTAACGTGATATAATTATATTATTGATACTGTTCTACTAGCGTACACTCTGGAGAGCACTACTGGGGAATGCCCAATAGTAATTCGACGTCCCGATTTTTTCACAATGAACAAGATTATCATCGACAAGGCCTTGCAGTATGTCTTTGACTGTCTGAGACACTGAAAAATACGACAGAAGACGGACGTTTAGAGTAATTCGATGACTAGTTATTAATGGATTACATTATATTCAAAATACATTACCTATTCCTTTCTCTTTTGGTGCAATCTTCTCAAGTTCTTTCAATTGAAAGAATTCTTTCTGCAACGTAAGAAATCATTTCAATGATAGCACCACTTTAATTACATAACTAAATATATTCAGCGGGGACAGTATTAATAATACCTTTTCATGGAACAAATCTTCAAGGCGTTTGCGTTTTTCGGCAACAGAAAGACCCTTCTTTGACTACAGATAGAAACATTATGTAAACGTTTTCTGAAAGTATGGAAAGTTGTTTGACGCGTATTTATGGTTACCATTATTCGTGTTTATCGGTCTTTTTAGCAGCTCTGTGGTTTCCTCACTTATGCGCACAGAATTGCTATGATCAGCGTGTCATCTGCCAACGTAATTTGACTCGCGCACGTCAGAATCCGAAAATTGACTGACTTTAGAAGTGTATAACACACAAATGCAACTGATAGGAAGAAGATTGACAGCACCCAAAGTCCATCAAAGTTGAGACTCTACAACTCTTCAAAGCCTGATTCTTTATGATAAAATTCACAATGAGACAATAGAATTCTCTGGTACAATTAGACAGGTAGCGCCATTACATTTATTAAAATACGTAGTATTCAAGCTCTTCACGTAATATATGCAACTAAAGAGAGGGGAACGATCAATCCCAATGTCAAGCTAGCTATCGAGCAAGGCATGCTATTACATAAAGGCCATCAATTTTCTGAATACAACAGTTTGTATAAGCCAAGAGAAGTGAATGCATAAATTATCGTTTCGAAATTTCAACCCTTCGCACTCAGCAATGTTTGCTACCTGTTTTACTCGAAAGTATTCCACGTCGATGTAAGCGAAATATCTATAATTGCCCCCCTCTTCCGCGCGTGATCGGATAATATTTGCCAATAAAGTTACAACTGTAGATCTGATTTTGCCAAAGATCAGATTTAGATTAAAATCTTGTTTGAGATACATATGTGGTATCTCGGTGGTATTCGAATAAAAGTGTTTAACAGCTAAAAGACGACATAACTTGGAAGAATGGCTACTAATATGTATTGGTTTATATCCGGTATTTGTTACAATATGCTGAACACTGCTTTAAACCTACTCAGTTGGTAGCTCTGACCTTCATGTTTGTCTTGCTCAAAGTACCTGCTGAGGGTAATAAAGCAGGTGCTTTTCAAAACCTCAGAGGCAAGCTGTATTCTTCTTCAGCCGACTATGCCGAAGTGTATCAATTTATTATTCCCGAGTTCAAGGTGAGAGATTGTATGTAGACTGTATGCCATGAAGAACCTTGATGCGTTTATTTATTAAGAGGGTCTATCTCTTGTTGTTGAGTGAACTGAGTGGGTTGCTTTCTGTCTGTACAGATTGGTACTCTTGATTCGTTGGTAGTTATTTCGGATGAACTCATTAAGTATGATCAAGCGATCGAAGTATCCATAGTCAAAATTGTTGATATTCTAAGGAATTTATTGAAAAATGATGTGGATAAGATACGCTCTCATTTTGTTGTTAACGGAAGTGAGTAAACAGAAATTAATCGATCCATAAACGAATGCACCATGATAGTAATGTCAGTTGTTTTTAATGGTTTCGCTCATTTCCCTGCCATCAAAAGGAAGCATTGCTCAATATCTAAAGGGATTCCAATGGAACACTCAAAAATATCGGGCGGATAGATCCTTGGCTGAAATTGCGGAAGTCATCAATCAAGTAATTAACTCGGTTAAAAGAGAAATGTAGAAATGTCACTAACATTTGATATATCCCAACATATCACTGAATATTTATCTAATGTGCGTGTCTTTATGTTAGGAAGTGGCTGCGATCGAAAGTCTGATGAAAAACAAATTGGCCAATTATAATCAAGTCAAAGGCAATCTCGTCGCTTTGGAACGTAAACAAACGTAAGATCAGTAAGAGCATCTAACGTTTGTTAAATGTGAAAAAAAAATTGAAAATTTTTTTGACTTTTACTTTTTCTTATGGTGCGTATGGATCAGTGGCAATCTCGCAGTACGCACGTTGGCCGACATTGTCAAAAAGGAGCATTTTGTACTCGATTCGGAATATTTGGAGACGCTTCTCGTTGCTGTTCCGAGGTCCGCCAATCATGCAATTGTTAATACTAATGTCAGTACTGCTTTTCTCGTGACATCTGGTTAATCGGTGTACACTGACTACTATTCAATTAAACAGGACCCTCTATAAAGACTGGTATAGTAAATATGAGACATTAACGAATTTCGTAGTTCCGCGTTCATCCCAGTAAGTAAGACTTGTTCCTGATTGTAAAAAGGAGTCCCAATACGAATTAAAGACTTATAATTATCAAAATAGGAAAATAGCTGAAGATGATGAGTATGGTCTGTTCAATGCAACGCTCTTTAAGCGAGCAGCAGATGAATTTACATACAAGTGTCGAGAAGAGAAGTAAGCTGATGAACCAATACTACCTACTATTCGGCTTGTTGATTTCGTCGTACAAATAATAATTCCATTAACACGTTACCCCTTAGATTTATTGTCAGAGAATTCAAATATGATGAAGCAAATCTAGAGAGTCAGCGTAAAGAATTACAAGAAGCTGGAAAAACTGAAAAAGAATTATCTGTAATTTTATAATTATTATTTATCTGTTATTTTCTTTTTTCGCCAGTCAAGTGATAATTCGTGCGTAATTGTACTCACACTCACTTATACCAATTCTAGGCTTCACTCTTACGGCTAGCAAAAACCAATTTTGGGGAAGTCTTTTCAGCATGGATTCATCTCAAAGCACTGCGAGTTTATGTTGAATCCGTGCTTCGTTATGGACTGCCTCCTGATTTCATGTCGGCGATAATAAAAGTATGGTTACAATACGCATGCACATGCATGAAATATTATTGGCAAATTACTTACATCTATTTCTTATTTGCCGTAACATAGCCAAAACCGAAAATGGAGAAGAAAACTCGCGAAGTGCTAAATGTCGAATATGGCCGACTTGGAGGTGCCATGGGCGAGGCGTATAAAGATGAAAATATTGAAGAATTGCATAATCTTCTCGGGAAGGACTATTATCCTTATGTCTGGTTCCAAATTCAATTGGATGTTACAAGGAGATAACATTTCGCTTTTATTTGGGTACCTTGTTAAGTATGGGCATTGTTTATTTATTCGTTTATTCGATAGGCACTATATATAATCGATGTAATAGAATGTACACTTTATTCAGTTAGAAATAGCCATTCTATTCCTTTGCGACAATAATTTAGTACAGATTATTCTTCCTAGTTTTGACGATTACATTTTTGGATCCTCCGATTATGTGGACAAGTCTATTGTTATGCCAAATATGACCAGGATATCATTAACCCGTTCAGACAAAAGGTTTTTGATCTATAGAAGAAGTTGTAACAAAATATTCAGAGCTGAGCATGCAATAAAGGCTTCTATTTTCATGTACTGAACCTCCTAAATACTTCGACTTGAACTCTTTTCTTGGACATCCTTGAGGTAAGTGCGAGCTGTATCATTTTATTCTGAATAACGATATCTGATAGTCGCATATTTCATCAAAACGGAGATTTCTTCTCTTCACTAACCTTTGCTTCGTAATATGACAGGTAAAAATAATATTGAATCGTGTTGGTCAAATATCTGAAACAAGTAGATTCATCGACCATATATTACACACGTCCTCACAAAAGCAATCTCTTGGGGCATGGCGCGAAGTGAATATAAGGCGAACGCTGCATCATATTACAAGTATAATAGTCTATTAGCTTTGGTGCTACTTTGACACAATTGTCAAAAGAAGTTGATTTTTCATATGTGCAATAATAAACGCGCATGTGAGCCAATATTTGATGCCAAGCCATTGATGAATTTGGTCACTATTGCTCTGGTGCAAAATCAATATTCATTATCTTCATACTTGAAGAGCTGTTCAAAATAACAGAATCATCATCAAATTTGCATTATTGTTATACCATCACTTTTTTGACTTATTATTATTAAGCCCACAAACATCAGGATCCTTATCTTTCTTATCTTCCCAGTTTCACCTCACCTTCATATTCAAGAAATCTTACTTGTTCCATAGAGCCACTTCCCACAAAAAGCAATTCCACATTTATAATTTAACCACTTGTGAGACATGATTAACAATACCTCATATACATCTTTTCATCTATCTGCTATAATAATCTTTAAGATTGTTGACAATTCGTTCAACGGGGAAAGAAACTACTACGAACGCTTAAAATCCAAACAACTCAATAAACGTTACTGGTTATCGGTACAATCATCACCACTAATAACACATCCAAAGTCAATACACTTGCGCATAAAGAATCATCAGACAACACTACACTAGTCAAACTGGTCGAAAATAAACCACCCACTAAACCGCTTTCTTCTAACCTGTGGCATAAACTTTTTATAGAAATTCAAAGTGAAAATCCAACGTGATTTAGCGCGCGTCATATATCGCGCTTTGTTCTCGTGCTTCTACATAACGGCCTTTCTTTTTTGTCTCGAAAGTTTTTTCATTTCTTACCTTCTGCCCATCTTTGACATTCTGAATTTACATTCTTCACTCCCGCGTTTGTTGTGCATTGCCTATAGATTGTTTGAACCGGCATCATTGAAACTTTAAGGCAAGTTTTATGCTCTTCTCATCGTATGCTTTATCAATAATTCTGTTGAGATGAAGGAAGCGTCTGCGGCAGGGTTAGGCCTGTCGGAAGCCAGCAATGGCGAGTCATCATCCAGGAGGTGGCCGGCTAGACTTCGTTGTGCAAGAATTATTGGGGGGTTGCTAGGCATACAAAGCGTCTGCGGCAGGGTTGGGCCTGTCGGAAGCCAGCAATGGCGAGTCGTCATCCAGGAGGTGGCCGGCTGCGTATGACGAGCAGCTCTAAGTCTAACTGTCACTTCAAATGTGCTTTTGTTCAACTACTTATCAATTATCTCCTTCATTTTAAGAGCAATGTTATCAAAAAGAAAGAGTAGAACTTCGCGCACATTTCAGCAAAAATTACATGTAGAATGGATTTTAAGTTCGGAAAATCCAACGCCTCTTGCCTTCTTTCGCTTGATCCACCCAACACATCGACAACGTGCAATTCAAAAGTACAGAAAAGCTTTTGCTGATGCACTAAGTGATAGTCCGGACAATAGAAGGCTCAGAATGATAAAAAACAATGTATGTAAAAAATGTTCTTTCTTCATATAAATATGGACTAGTAGTATTGATGTCAATTTGATGTATTAGTCATGGGACATGTCCCCATACAGGGGTTCCAAATGTTGTTGATAGTAGCGATCAGCATGTCGATCACCCGAA